GCTGAGAGTCCCGACGGCGAAGCGCACACCAGTTCGACAGTTTCTGTTGCTGCCAAGGCTCTAGATGTTTCTCTTGCTGCCGGGTCTCTGAGACCTTGGAAAACACTGTCAGCCATTGTGTTGTTCACATCATTCTCTCTAATCAGGGCTCAACAAACAAATTGTTTAAACAAACAAATCAGTCTTGGAGGAAGTACAACCGAAAGCTCCACAGAGGCAAGAATGGTGACATTTTGTCTCATGTGCTTTGGCCTTGCTGTCAGAAGGGGCCAGTCCTGGCAAAGGTGGAAGGGCAGGAAACCCTGCCTGCCTCTCAGCCCACATGGCCTGCCATGTCCGAGCCCACCACTGCGTCAGCCCGCCTCAGTGAGGGGCTCCCTCTTCTCACTGATCCTCTAGATTTTTGTGTTAATACTCAATTCACAACTCAATCTCCTTGCCACCTCGCATCCAGCCCTCCAGCGGGTTTTCAGAGGCTCTGAATCGTGGGGAGGAGTCTGCCTCTTTGAGCTTCTGGTGCATTAAGACTGGGGGGGAGGTGTGGTCTTTGGGTTGTTGTCCTCCATGGACTATGGCATCACCAGGGCCTCCCGAATGTTCAGTTGACTCCGAAATCCCACAGATTCTCTCTCCCTGAAAGGGCATCATGCTTGGAAAAGTGGAAGGTCAGTGAAGAAGCCGTTCAGCAAGCTGCATTGACACGGTGACTGCGTTGAGGGGTTTACACCGTGGAGGTTACCAGGAGGAAGGCACAGGCCCCAGGAGGCAGTGTGAGGCTGGCTCAGGAGCATGCAGGCTTTTCAGTCAGTTGGGCATGCGGTCGCTAAGGGCCGAAGCCTGCTGGACGGCGCCTAACAGCAGTGCAGCAAAGTGGAGTGCACGGTGTTGTTGGTGTGGGTGTCCTGGAGCCAAGGCCCAGTCTTGGAGACCGTGTGTGTGATATGTAACAGAAGGGAAACTGCCCTGTGTTGTGAAATGAATTCTGCCTCCTAAAATAAGTGCTGGGAATCCTTGTCTCTGCCTGTAGTTATAACCCATCCGAGAGCGGGCTGTCTGTATTATGTCACTGAGACAGGATCAGTGTAGGTGTGTCTTGCGCCGGTAGTTACATTCTGTCCAGTGACAGACTGTCCGCATTATGTCACTGGGGCAGAATCACTGTACGTCAGTATGCCTTGAGTCTATCTCTTTCTCAAAACTCTTGACATTCCCTTTGCATCAGAACCAACTCTTAGCCGACCATCAGCGAGTTTTCAGAGACTGTAAATCATGGGAGAGAACGGTGCACCTTTCTTCCTCAGACCAGCTGCTGGGGTCACACTGCTTTTGGCTTGGCCATGCATCTCCTTACCCACTAGACCACCGGAGCGCCCTCCGTCTCTTCAGAGATATAAAAGACACCTGGGTGGGCAGAGAGGCAGGGGAGGGGAGGCTGGTGGAGAGCCACAGGAGTGGTGCCCAGGGACGGCAGCCCAAAGGGACAAGGCCCTTCCTCCACCAGAGAGAAAGCCTCCCCGTCACTCGGCACCAACATTCGGGCTTCCCGCTCCGCTACCGAGAAGATAAATTTCCGCTTGTTAAAGTCACTCACTTGTGTAACTTTATTATATTGTTATGTGGCATTTAGTCTGAACCAACACATAGCTGACCCTCTGGCAGGATTGTTTTCAGGTTTCAGAAGTAAATTGTACCAGGGGAGCTCTGGTGTCCTGGAGGTAAGAAACTGTGCTGCAGTGTCAAATGTGCACGGTTCGAATCCACCAGCTGCCCTGTGGGAGAAGACTGGCCAGTGTCCTCCTGTGCAAATCCTCTGAAATCTGCTGGAGGCTCAGCGATGGGTTGGTTCCAACTTGACAGCCCACAACGACAAATTACGCCAGAGAAGATTGCCGACATTCACCCCACAAAGCAGCTAGCAGCTCAGCCCCTCACCCACCAGGCCACCGGGCGCCTTGGTTAGAGCAGCGCTGACCAGCCCCTGCCCTCCCTGGTTATGGCTGGAGTTCAGTCCATCGTTGTTGCAGTTGTGTAACCTCACGTCATTGAGGGCACCCCTCTTCTTGCTGGCCCGCTCCTAACCGTGACGTCCTCCTCTAGCCACCGGCCTTTCTCAGTCACGTGTTGGAGCGAGTGAGCCCAAGTCTTCCTTGCCGCCCTCCCTCCCACGGAGTGTTCTAGCTAAGTCCATGGTAAAGCCGGTCGGTCGTTTCCGGCTCACCACAGCCTGCAGGACAGAGCAGAACTGCCCCTTCGGGTTTCCAAGGCTGGGAATCTTTACAGAACCAGACTGCTCGTCTTAATCCTGAAGAGCGCCTGGTGGATTCAAACCCCCAGCCTTTCATTTAGCCACTCAGTGTCTAATCAGCTGTGCCACAGAGCAGCTGGGGCTCTCCATTGGAACAGCAGGGAGTGTTGCATGCACTGTGTGGTCCCGTGGTATCCAGGGAATGTTCTGGAACCCAGAGCTGACTGTCATCTGAGTTTGAGGAGGCATCTTCTGTAAGACGCACACGCAGCAGGAGTCAGCATTCAGCCACAGGGGGTTTTCACCAAATGTTCCCATCCGGAGGGGAAGGGGCAGTGCCGTTCCTACAGAGGAGGAACCAGTGGCCAGCCCCTGGCCAGCTAATGTCCACTCCAGGGAGGAGCCTGCGGCCTCCCCTTGCTGCCGGAGGTTGTGCTGACCTCACATCTGTTTCTGAGACAGCCACCAGACAGGCCCGGGCCACCCGGAGGAACCTGCTGCACGTGCCCTACGGCGATGGGGAGAGGGAGAAACTGGACCTGTACTTTCCTGACAGCGCTTCAGAAGGTGGGTGCCGTGAGGGAGGGTCCTCAGCAGAGCTCCCTCCACCCCGCTCCTGGGCATCCTGTGCTGTATTTATTGTTGTTTGAATGGAAGTTTTTGGAATAAATTGGTTTTTCATACATATCTCATACGATGAGTTAAGATACCTGCAATGTAATTACTGTTCCCACTTCTTCCCTGTGAGTCTCATGTCCATCAGTCCTCTACTGTCCATCCTGCCTTCTGAGGCTTTATCCCTGGGCAAATACTGCCCAGTTGATTGTTCTAACTGGCGAGTGCTTTCGTGGTATTACTGGTCACCGTATAGGCCTGTCTGGCTGAAAGTGGAGGATGGGGAGGATGTATTTACTTCCAGACTTGAAAGCTGACTGAGGTGCAGAGTCCTGGCTGTTCCGCCAGTCTCTATCCGGCCAGCAGACCTGCCATTTATATATATATTTTTTTTTTTAGTTCTGTTCCACATTTCTCCGCCACTCTGTCCAGGATCTACTGTGGTCCCTGTCAGAGTTGCCAGTGACAGGAGCTGGCACCATCTGGTTCCTCTGGCCCAGGGCCACGGAGGCTGAGACCCCTCTGTGTTGTCTTTCAGTTCTGCCATTCTTCGTGTTTGTTCATGGAGGATACTGGCAGAGTGGAAGGTGAGTGGGGGCATCCTTCTTCCCCAGCGCGGCCTGGCTGCCCTAACGAGTCACCACAATGGGGTGGATTAGAACGACCCGGGCGTGTTCTGCCCCATTCCTGGAAGCTGAAAGTCCAAGGTCAAGGTGTCCACAGGGCCAGTTCCTCTGAAGGCTCCTTGCTTCTTCCAGCTTCCTGGAGGCTTCAGGGGTCCAGGTTGTCATCACCCCATTTCTGCCTCCGCTGTCATGTCGTCTCCCCCTCATTCCTGACTCTATGTGTCAACTGTCCCCCTCCTTTCCCTTGGAAGGACATGTGTCATTGGAAGTAGGCTCCTCTCTAGTCCAGGCCCGTCTTGTCTCAAGACCCTCACCTCAGTCACATCCACAAAGACCCTTCAAGATGAGACCACAGGCTCAGGTCCCAGGGGTGGGACTCAGAATACCTTTTCCGGGGGGTGAGCTCTTCCACCCACTGGAGGCCCTGGTGGCACCGTGGTTAAGTTCTCAGCTGCTGATGGAAAGTCTGGTGGTTTGAAGCAGCCTGGGGCCTCCAGAGGAGAGAGAGCTGGCAGTCTGCTTCCGACCTGTGGAGACCGTAAGAGGGAGCAGACCTGACCCACGGTGTTCCAAGGTGGCAGATCTTTCTCCCTCTACGTGCCTGCTGGATGCAAAACGCCAGCCTTCTGGGTAACACACAGGTGCTCCAAACACTGCACCACCAGGCTACTTAGGCAGGATTGTTGTTCTTAAAAGTGCCGTTGAGTTGGGACTAATGCAGAGCTGACCCTCCGGTGGGTCTTCAGAGGCTGTAAATCACGTGGGAGGGGTGGCCCCATCTATCTCCCCAGAGCAGCTGATGGATTCCAGCCACATGTCTGTGGGATTGCAGCGCAGCTCCTGAGCACTGGCCACCAGCCCTCCCTAAGGGCAGGATTAGATTATGTCCAAAGAGATGAAGCTGAGTTTCCTGTGTTAAGGAGGACTAGGGTGGGTACATCTCCCTGAATTCAGTCACTTTGCGAAGGCTTTTGACTTTGTGAATCACAAGCTATGGCTGACTCTGGGAAGAATGGGAATCCCAGAACATTTGATTATGCTTCTGCGAAACCTTTACTTGGACCAAGAGGCAATTGTCAGCACAGAGCAAGGAGACACTACATGGTTCAAAATTGGGAAGGGCATCCTCCAGGGATGTATTCTGTCTCCATACCTTTTCATTCTGTATGCAGAACAGATCATCTGGGATGCTGGGCTGTACAAGGAGGAATGTGGCATCAGGATTAGAGGAAGATTCATCAACAACCTGCATTATGCAGATGACACAGCTCTGCTTGCTGAAACTGAGAAGGACCTGAAGCGCTTGCTGCAGAAGGTCAAGGACTGCAGCCTTCAATATGGATTGAAGCTCAACATCAAGAAAACAAAGATTCTCACCACTGGGCCAATTGGCAGCATCAGAATGGATGGTGAAGAGATTGATATTGTTCACAGCTTTAGTTTACTTGGCTTTACAGTCAACACTCTTGGTACCAGCAGCCAGGAAATCAAGAGATAATTGCACTGGGAAAGTCAGCTGTGAGGGACCTCTCCAGAGTACTGAAGAGCAATGATGTCAGGCTGGAGACTAAGGTGCGCCTGATCTGGGCCATAGTCTTCGCAATTATGTGCTACGCGTAGGAGAGCTGGACAGTGACTTGGGATGATAGAGAATTGATGCCTTTGAGCTGTGATGTTGAAGAAGTGTTGAATATACATGGACTGCTAGGAGAACAAACAGGTTCATCCTAGAGAGGGTGAAGCTGGGCTGCTCCTTGGAGTCAAGGATTCTGAGGCCTTATCTGACATACTTTGGGCATGTTGCAAGGAGGGACCAGTCCTTGGGGAGGGATGTCATGTTTGGGAGAGTGGAGGGGTGGTGCAGGAGAGGAAGACTGGTGAGATGATTGAGTCAGTGATTGGGGTAGTGGGAGTAAATGTGCTGGAGACTGTGAGATTGGTACAAGATAGAGCAGGATTTAGGGCTCTTGTACATAGGGTTGCTATGAATTGCAGGCAACTTGATGGCACTTAACAACAACAACTTTTAGAGTGCCTGGGCCCATATACGGCGGCTTCCCTGGCATGTGACCCACATCAACTTTTATCTTACAAGAGAAAAAAGGAGAGAGAAAGGGGAGCCTGACGGCCACCAAGAAAAAAGAACCAGCAATGCAGGAGGTGGGGTGGGGGGTATCTCTGGACCCATGGGGTCCCCATGCTGAGAACTGCCTAGACCCAGGGGAAGACTGATGCCTGGGGCTCTCCAAGGGGTGCTGGACCCAAAGATGTTGAGAGGAGACAGGTTCTTCCCCCAGATCTGACAGGAGGAGACCCTTCCCCTAGGTCTGGGGCCTGGATTCAGACTTAAGCCTCCTACACTGGGAGCGAATGCACGTGTCTGCCAAGGCGCCCCCTTGTGGTAGTTCTGTTACTGCAGGGCCAGAGCCCTGGGACGGTCCCCATGGTCCTGTTCCAGGCACAGGACCCCTGAGCTTGTCCTTGGTCATCCTCTCAGGGCCAGAGCAGCCCGGTGCTCAGGGCAGACAGGAAATCTGGCCCGAGCTGAGTCTGCTGCCTGCTGGAAGCAGCCTGCTGTCTAGGTTAGCTCTGGGGCTCACCTCCAGGTCTCTTTCCACAGTAAAGACACATCAGCCTTCATGGTGGGGCCTCTGACGGCTCAGGGAGTGGCCGTGGTGACTGTGGGGTATGACATTGCACCCAAAGGTAAGGCCACGCGTTCAGGAATGGGACAGGGACAGCCCTGCCTCTCCGTGCACTCTGACTCAGCACGGCTCCCTGGCAGGCACACTGGACGTGATGGTTGACCAGCTGACCCAGAGTCTCACCTTCCTCCAGACACGTTATCCTCACAACAAGTGAGTATCCAGCACTGTATGGGGACAGAGGACCATGGACCCGAGGGTAAATCGAGTGTCCTTCACCTTGGTCTGCTGCTTTGCAAGGATCAGACACCACCCTGGCCAGAAGATGTGCTGTCTTAGCCCCTTCCCCTTCTCTACCCCACCCCAGAGGCATTTACCTGTGCGGACACTCGGCCGGGGCCCACCTGGCCACCATGATGCTCCTGACCAATTGGACCCAGCGTGGAGCCATGCCCAACCTCAAAGGTTTCCAGGGGCTGCGGTCTCACCTGCTCTGGTGCCCAAGAACTTGCTGGCACCTCTGACAGCTGGGAGGGCCCTGAGCTGAGGGCTCCGGAGCTCTGTGGGGGGCTTTCTGCCTGCCCTCTGACCCCTGCCTGGGTCTTGTCCCTCTGTCTCCTGCCTCCTTCTTGCTTCTGGTGACACACGAATGTGGCGGCTGAGGGCCTGTCCGGTAATGGACCGGCTGCTATCAGCCTGGCCCCGTGACTGCCTTCGCCTTCACAGGCTTCTTCCTGCTCAGTGGGCTGTATGACCTGGAGCCCGTGCTACACACCCCGGAGAATGTCCTGCTTGGCATGACCCTGTGAGTGGTTACCCTGCTGGAGCCCCCAGGAGACGGGGTGACACCACCACGCCCTGTGCTGACCCCGTCCATCTACAGGGAGGTTGCTCAGAGGAACAGTCCGCAGTTGCGCCTACAGGCTGCCCCCAAGCCACCCTGGGCCCCCACTGTCCGCGTGCTGGTGGTCGTGGGCCAGCACGACTCCCCTGAGTTCCAGCGACAGTCCAGGGAGTTCTTCCAGGTACTGGTGTTGGTCCAGAGATCAGGGGTCATGGTGTTCCCTCTTCTCTCCAGCTCCTTCCTCCATTCACCCAAATGGCTCCAAAGACACCCCCCACCCCGAGGATGCACTGGACACTAAGAATGCCCCAGCCTGTCCTGGCCCCTCTAGGTGCTGACCCAAAGAGGGTGGGAGGCCACCTTCCAAGAGCTCCCTGACGTGGACCACTTTGAAATCATCGAGAAGCTGACCCAAAGAGATTTTATGCTCAACCAGGTGAGCTGTGTCCCTTCCCAGATGTGGACCCCTTGCCGTGACCCCCGTGTAAGGCTATGTGGGGAGGCGGGGAGCCCCTGACATCCGGGGACCCCTGGGCGTGGACACCAGCCATGCTTCCATATTTCATCCTCATCTGCTCTGTCCCCAGGTGGCCTGTACGAGTCTGGCTCTGGGCACCCAGGTGGCAGTAGAGTAATTAATACAATAAAACAAAATATCTGTGAATGACTGAGTGGAAACTTTTACTCAAGTATAATGAAAAAAGAAAGGAAAACCAATCCACTCCGTAGAATTTTATCCAAATCACAATAAAAAGTTTGAAAGGTGGAAAAAAATAAAGAGCATTAGAGAGTCAAAAACAAAGCATCCTCTTACTGGATGTCACAGCTACATTTTCAAGTCCTTTCCCACGTGCCCTCTGTGAACATGCTCGACTTTTTTTCTCTCTGACAACTGGGGGAAGAAACAAACCCCCACAGATGGCATTTCTCAGAAGGACCTCAGAGAGATCAGCCATTTCTTCAGATTCTGGGCTGAGCTGCCCCCCAGTTCCTCTCAATTCCAGGGATTTTCCCATCTTTTCTTCCCGCTGCAGATGATTTTGAGAACCATCTTCCAGCAGTCCTGATGGACCTGAACCGCGCGCGGCCCAGTGGTCACCCTCCTGGGAGTCTTCTCTGAGAAGTCCAACTGAGTCAACCAGACCACAGGCCTATACAATGACCAGTAACACCAGCAAGGAATGCTCTCCTTCAAACAACTGCACATTCGAGATCGAAGGACAGCTTTGTTCAGGGATTAAAGCTCAGAGGATTGAAAGGCTGAATGGAAGCAAAACTCACAGGAAGGGAGTGGAAGAATGCTGCTACAACGTGGGGATTATACACAAATCCGAAAACATCGCCTGCCGCATAAAAGCACATTCTTCACACCACTCTAAACCCTCATGAAACTTTCTCCATGGTCCTGCCTGGGATCCAGTGAGACCTAGGAGTGCCTGGCCCAGCCTGGCTCAGAGCTGTGTATGGTGAGCCCCCTTGACAAGCCTGCCCCTTCTGTCTGCTTAAGGGGTGTGACAAAAAATGACAGACCATCTATATACTCACCTCTCACCCACTGTCCATTTTTCTGAAATAAATTTTTTTACAAAAAATAATATTTCAGGGAGCTCTGGTGGCCTAGTGGCAAGACGCTACACTGCAGTCCCAGGGATACGTGGTTCAAATCCACCAGATGCTCTGCTGGAGAAGGAGGGGGCAATCTCCTCCTGTACCAGTCAGATCTGATTTGACGGTACACGTAAAAGTAATACAATAAAAATTAAAACAAAAATAATATTTCATAACCTGTGAAAATGATACAAAATTCAGATTTTGCTGTCGATAAATATTTATTAGAACAAAGCCTCAACTCAGTCACGTGTGAAGTGTCTGTGGCTTCTTTCCTGTGACAGTGACAGGTCTTAGTAGTTGCAGCAAAGCCTGTATGGCCTGTTACCAGGAGTCCCGGGTGATCCAGACGCACACTCAGCTGTTGACCTGACAGCTGGAGGTTCAAGCCCACCAGAGGTACCTTAGAAAAAAGGTCTGGCAATCTATTTCCGAAAAACCAGCTCTTGACTCAGTTCGACTCTAACATCGCGTCAGCTCTGACTTAATAGCAACCGGTGGGTTTTGGTTTGGGGGTTAACAGGTATATGCATATTCCTTATACTAGTTTTGCAACTTTTTTCTTTGGTTCAAAATGATATCAAACCAGAAAGTTGCAAAGGAGACATTCAGAATGTTAAAACAGGTGGAGTTCACAGCTCTGTGGGCCTCTTCTCTCCCGCTCAGGCTTCCACGCCCTCAGCTCTAGAAACGAGTCAGTGCTCGCCCTCCCTGACAGCGCTCACCCTCTCAGACAGCGGGCTTTCTAGTAGGCTGACAGGCGTTGCCAGAGTGGGCCAGGGACAGCAGAGGCTGTGAGGAGGGCCCGGGGCCAGACAGTGCTGCGTCCTATTGTGTGCAAGCTGGCTGGGAGTTGGAACTGATTTGAGGACGCCTAATAACAAAAAGCTGGACACCCGCTTTGAAGAGGGCAGGAAGCAGTCGGCCTGTGGCTCAGCGCCCTATCCACCCTCCACCCCGCCTGGTGCTTCCCTTTGGTGCCTTGATGGTGGGTGGCCCCTCACAGCCTCCTGGACGCCACTCCACCAGGACCCTCCTGGATGCTCAGGCCCGAGTCACTGGGGACTTGGCATGCCTCTTCCCTCTTTTTGAGCCTGGTAAACCGGTTTAGAGGTTTTTGTGGGCATTGTTGCTATGTGCCTGCAAGTCAACTATGACTCAAAGCGACACTATGAACAACAGCCCTGAGCCTTGTCCTATCCTGCGCCATCCTTCTTAAGGGCCTATAAAATACCTTTCTGGCTTTCCTGAGCAAGTTGGAGCCCAGCTCGGTCTTGAGTCGCTTGGCCCCAGCTGCTGGCGAGTCTGTTCTGAGCGCCCACACTTACCCCCTCCTTCCTGAGACTGCCCACTTCAGCCCTCTTCTTTACCAAGTATGAGATCCTTTTTCAAAGACTACCACCTCCTAGGGAAGACCGTCAATGAGGTGGATTGACACAGTGACTGTAGCAATGGGCTCATATATATCAGAGATGGTGACAGTGGCACAGGAGAGGGCAGGGTTCAGATCCGTTGTTCATAGTGTTGCTGTGAGTCGTGGTAGAGCCGGTGCCATCTAACAACAACAGCATCCCCTTCTGATACCTCTCACAAATATGTGAGACGGAGTCTTACCATCCTTGTCCTAAGGAGTACCCTGACTGCATTCCAACACAGATTTGCTTGTGCTTTTGTCCAAGTGATGGACACTAGGCTTCACCAGCTCCACAGTTCAAAGCCATCATTACTCTCCAGTCCCGCGTATTCTTTGTCCAGCTTTCACGTGCATATGAAGCAACTGGAAAATACCTGGGCTTAGAGCTGGGGCACCTTAGTCTTTAAAGTGACATCCTTGCCCTTTAGCACTTTAAAGCACTCCTTGTAAGCAGATTTGCCTAATGCAGTAAGTTGTGTTTAGGATGTGGTAAAGGTCAAGGTTTAAGTTAGTTACACCAAATTGTTGCATAAATGAGCTAGGGGTTGGGGTGGGGCAGAGGAGGCTGGCCAGACTTCACTCCTCTCATTAACATACTTCCTGTGGTGGTGGTGGGAGTGTCAAGATTTCAGTGCAGAAGTGGAGACCATGAATATACCAGAAGAGATCTTCAGTGAATTTACCCACAGCCTCACAGCCCACATGTAACTCATTATACCACTAGGTCTCCTTACAAAATCTTTTCCATCGTTTTTTCTGCCCACCATGGCTAACTCTGATGGTATTTGAAATACTCATGGCACAGCTTCCAGCATCCTGCAGCAACAAGCCACCACAGTGCAGCAAACTACGGCCTGGCCCAGCTTCCAAGCTTTCCCTTGGAGCACCAGCTTTTAGCATCTTTGCTGACCAAGCACTGTGATGCTTGGCCAACTGCTTTTCCGGCCGAAAGTTAGCATTCAGGAGCTGTGTTTCTTACATTTTCAGCTCAGAAACACATTTTTTTGAAGTGCTGTAACTCCTATTCACATTTTTTTAACACCTTAAAAGGGGGTGGGAAAGACACTTCAAATTTCTGTATCCATTTCCCTGCCAATTAAGTTGTAATGAGTAAATCCGGTTCTACTTTTACAGGAATTTAAATGCCAGCATGTGAAGTAGACACAGGTAAAAAAACAACCAAAAACACCTCAACCAGTTTAACAAGGTTCTGTCTGTCAGTTAAATAAAAGTTTTAATTTTTTTTCCCCACAAAGGAAATAAAAAACAACCCAGCACCACTAAAACAAAAAAAAAAAATCTGCTGGGGAGGGGAGGGAGGCACCGGGAGCCCCTATATAGTTAAACGATGACATAAGTCAGGAGCGACTAGAGGCTTGTGCAAAGTCTCATGCATAAATAAATACTGTATCTCATTGAACAAGGGCCAGAATTTCACTCAGAAACACTTATTAAATAGGTGGGCAAAGGCTTGTTGGAAGACACGGGCCCACTCACCTGAGGGTGCAGGTTCAGCTGTGGATTTCACCTCTGACATCTTTCCTGGAAGAACCCCTACTCTAATCGGAAATGCATTAAGCACGATTACAACTAACCTGGTACAAAGCCCAGTACCGAACAGAGTAACCCACAGCAAGAAAAACTTTAGGAAACTCCATAAAGATGTAAGAGAACAGGGGAGAGTTCTTCCTTTCAGTGTGTGACACCTTGGTTCAATTCCTGCCAATGCCACCCCACTGCATGTGCCTAGAATGCAGAACGGGTTTCAACAGAGCTTTGGTGGCGAAGTCCCTAGGGAACTATGCTGCTAGCTGAATGGTCCCCATCTCTTCAGTGGTTCGATTCCACTAGCTGCTTCACAGGAGAAAGATGTGCAATCTCCTCCCCTGCGATTTACAGCCGCTGAAGATCCTCTGGAGGGGTCAGCTATGAGTCAGAGAGACAACTTTGATAATAGGCAGAAAGACGAGGGATTTATGTAACATCAGCTAGTGAGTATCTTGTGGATCAAAAGGGTCAAGCTTCACAGAGCACCACCGTGACGATGCCGAAGGACTGGGGAGTGTTTTATTCCACCGTGCGTGGGCTCTCTAGGCCACGGAAACAGGAAACCACTGTTAAATTTGGACAAAGGGGCCAAAGAGAAGAATGAAGCATTCACAATTCAAACGCTGACGGCCTTGCCTGCCTGGCTGAGCAGGTGGATCATAAATCAGAGTGGAATGTCCCTCCCTAACGACTCTTTTATAAAAACCCTCCCCAGTAAGTTCACAGCGGGACTTGCCCATTCTGCATCCCCCAGAACGAGGAACTTCACCGTGGAACTCCCCTATTCCCCTCCTTTTAATAAAGCTGCATTAAGCTTTCTCTCGTTCTCTCTGATTTCTTCCTTCATTCGGCTGATCACCAAGAGTTGGGGCCTGATTCCGTGATGACAGCTAACAATACACACACGCTTGACAGGACGGGTGACTGCACGAGAGCCCAGTCCCCGCTCCCTCGCGCACGCGCAGTCCGTGCGGCAGGACTTGGGAAGCGGGCGCCACGCGGGGACCAGGGACCAAGCTGCAAGCCGGAGAACTACAACTCCCAGCAGGCCGCGCGTCGTCAGCCTCGCGTTCCCAGCAGGCTGCGCGCAGACTTCCGCGCAGGCGGCGGGGGCGTTCCCGACGTGCCCTGCGGCGCGGCCTAACCGCCCGGTTTGAATCGCTGTTATGGCCGCTGCCTCTTTGCCCTCGACTTGGCAGCTGTATCTCAAAGACCACCGCCTCTCTACGTACAAGAACTGGCCCTTCTTGGAGGGCTGCGCCTGCACCCCGGAACGGGTGAGTCTGCTCTACCCCTGAGCGCGTCCGACCGGACCCCGACCCCCAGCTCTGCCCTGGACCTCCCGGCCCGCTCTGCGACCTAGGCCCGCTCTGCACCCCTAGACTCCTCCCTGCACCCCTAGACTCCTCTTTGGACCCCTAGGTCCCGCTCTGCACCCCTAGACTCCTCCCCGTACCCCTAGACTCCGCCCTGGACCCCTAGGCCCCTCCCTGCACCCCTAGGCCCCTCCCTGCACCCCTAGGCCCGCTCTGCACCCCTAGACTCCTCCCCGTACTCCTAGACTCCGCCCTGCACCCCTAGGCCTGCTCTGCACCCCTAGGCTTCTTAGGAACCCGGATCCTCCCTGCACCTCTAGACTCCCCCTTCCCCCAGCTCGTCCAGATCCTCCGCCAGCCCCCCCCCCAGGTCCATCCTGCAACCCCGCTGTACCCCAGAGCCCCCGGGGCCAACCTGTCCTGGACTCCTACGCTGGCAGAGACCCCATCCCCAACCTTAAAACATTACACAGGCTCCCACCACCTCCAGGGGACCCCAGCCCCTCCCCAGGCCCACCCTGGACCCCATGACCCTCCTAACTCCTCCAGGGTCCACCTGGCGCAAGCCCATGCCCATCCACCCGTCCACCCATCCACCCATCCACTGTCCCTTGCAGATGGCCGAGGCTGGCTTCATCCACCGCCCCACTGAGAACGAGCCGGACCTGGTGCAGTGTTTCTTTTGCTTCAAGGAGCTAGAAGGCTGGGAGCCGGAAGACGACCCCATGTAAGTCCCCCACTGGTCCTTGTGGACTGGCTGCCCCTCCATCGGGTGACATGTGGGGCTCAGTACCCTTAAGGGTCAGCTGATACGGGAGGCAGGGCCTTTTGGGAACCTTGGGGAACTCTTACCGTGACAGTCGGCCTTTTAAAGGGCACATTTGAGTGTTGTTTTGACAATATTTAGTTTCTACTTTTACTGTAGTTTTTACTGTGTAGTTTCGGCCCACCGCGGCTGAGCCGGTTCAGAGGCTGTAAATCTTGACAAGAGGACACTCTCTGATCTGTCTCTCTCAGACCTGCTAGTGGATTTGAACTGAGGACCTTTTGGTGAGCAGCCCAACCTACAAGGCACGAAACCAACACTCTGTGTGCACATCCTGATCACCTGCTATCCCTTTTCTTTCTGAAATGTAATGCTCTTCTCCAACCTGAGTCAGCTCTTTCCAGTGTTAACTCCCCCCCTCGAAAATCAGCCAACGGCTTTCTCTGGTATTTTCCCCTGCTGCTTTGTTGACAGGCCTGATCGCATTATCGTAGGACATGCAAGTCTGTGTGTTAGAATGTTTTCAGTTGGTAGTTAAGATGGGATGTCTTTTTGGAGGCTGTGTAGCTGTGTGTGTTTGGTGCTTGTCCGGTGACAGTGACAGGTTTTCAGGAATTAATCTTATTGTAGAGGTCAGTGTTAGGCTGTAGAGAGGTTTCCTGGAGAAGCCTAGCCCAGAGTGCCCCTATTTTGAGCTAATCATTTGTAACAATGCTAGGGAGATGAAGCGAGTGCACACAGGTCCTTGGACCCTGAAGGTCTGAGACACAATACCTGTGTGCTTGGATGTAGAAACCCCCTTCTGGCTAGTTGCTAAAGGACTTCGGATAAAATACCGAGCTGTGAAGACCTGAGGGAGCAGGTGTCAAGACAAGAAATGCAAAAGCGTGGTTTGGGGCGTGGCTCTGTGCTGGCCACTCTCCCTGGGACCCAGGACATGCTGTCCGTTCCCGTGACAGATGGGGGACAGACCGCTGGTGGGACTCGGAGCCTCCGTCCTTTCTCCAGCTTTCCTCACTGACGTGCTCTTGCGTTGATTTTTGTAGAGAGGAGCATAAAAAGCATTCATCTGGTTGTGCTTTCCTTTCCGTCAAGAAGCAAGTTGAACAGTTAACTCTCGGGGAATTTCTGAAGCTGGACAAAGAGCGAGCCAAGAACAAAATTGTACGTATTGTCGGAAGTGAGAACGCGGGGCAGCCTCTGCTTACCTTGAGCCTCTGTGGTGTGAATGTCCGGGGACAGAGGGACAGAAAACATGCTTGCTGGGTGGATATGGGGCAGTATGCGTTGTGTCCCCAGGGCTGCTTTCCATGAGAACCAGGCAGTGGGTGCGGGTCAGCGAGCATTCCTGACCTCCACAAGGACTGTGGCAGGGGAGAGATAACCACGTGTCCGTTTGTGTTGAGGTATTTGCCAAGAAAACAAACAGATTCATCGTGGAGAGGGTTAAACCTGGGTGCTCCTTGGAGGCAAGGATTCTGAGGCTTCGTCTGACATACTTTGGACATGTTACAAGAAGGGACTGGTCCTTAGAGAGGGACATCGTGCTTGGGAGGGTGGAGGGACAGTGCAGGAGGGGAAGGCCCTCTATGAGGTGGATTGATTCTGTGACTGGGGTAATCGGGATGGGTGTGTCAGAGGCAGTGCAATTGGCACAGGATAGAGCAGGGTTTAGGACTGTTGTACATAAGGTCGCTATGAGTCGCAAATGACTCGACGGTACATAACAACAACAACATTAGTAGTCATGTGAACACCTTGTGGGAAGGCATTGGGCACGGAGCAGGTGACAATCTGGCCACACCTGGAGGGACTCGTGTGCAGGTGAAGCTGGACTCGTCCCAGCTATGCTGGGTTACTGGACGAGCAGGGGCAGCCAGGTCGGGCCAGGTGCCCAGTGACATCAGAGCTTCAGGCCAGCAGGGAGTGAGCCTTTCCTCTAAGTCTCAGAACAGTAGTCTTGTCAGGTGGACCAGGTGTGTAGTAGAGACCAGATGATGAAGATGAGGGGAGAATGTTTCTTGTGACGATCCTTGTTGTAAACAGGACGCAGAAAGCAAGCAGGGACACGAGGAAATGAATTCTGAAAAAGAGGACTGCTGATGCTGAGGTCTTCTCACAGCTTAGCGCTGTGAAAAGGCCACTTTCTTAGTCTCCACATGGTTTTTATTTAGTTTACGCCAGTCATCATAAAACAAATTCAGTCTCCAGAGACTATATTTTCCTTATACTTAAGTGTTGCCAACGTAACAATGGGTAAGCTTACTCTTTAAACGAAGACCAAAGTTCAGACACGGTGTCCCCTCCGGTGGGAGGCCGGGAGGAACCTTCTGTTTGCAGAGGGCATCCAGTATCTCCTCCAGGGGGCTGGGCGGAATTCTCTGTTTGCAGAGAGCGCTCAGTCCTGCCTGGACTCTGATCTCAGCTGCGGCCCGGCTGTCACTGTGCCGGGTGATCCACAGCTCCTGGTTTCTGAAATCCCAGACCTGAGCTTGGCTGCCCATCGTGTTGACGAGGTCACAGCTAATCAGTGGGGAGAGTGGGTCCCGAGGGCTGGTCTAGGGGTGATACGCAGCAACGACCAGGTCTGTCCATCTGTCTTCTAAAAGGAAGTCGCTTCCCACCTGCTGGAGGACAGCTCGGTCAAGAGTCAGCTGAGGGGGAAGCAAACTCGCTTCTGTCTGGGGGGTAAACTTTGAGGGAAACACACTTGCTTCTGCGGACACCTCCCCGGTAGGTGAGTGTCTGCTGTGGGGCAGGGGGAGCAGCTCAGGGAGCAGCCAGGCCCGGGGACAGCCCCACTGCGGGCTCATTGTTGCTTGTCAGGGCTGAGTTCTTTGAGTTGTGCATTGCTCTCCTGCTTTCAGACGTCTGCCTTCCCAGCCTCGGGGTTTGCCGACAGCAGGTTGGCTGGGGTTAGCTGCCAGCCCGTCAGCACCTTCTCAACACCCCGTGTACAGCAGGCCCTTGTAACACTCACCGAAGCCAAGAGGCTGATGTGCCAGTCACACTGCCTCTGACACACCCATCCCGATTACCCCAGTCACTGAATCAGTCCACCTCCTAGAGGGCCTTCCCCTCCTGCGCTGTCCCTCCACCCTCCCAAGCACCATGTCCCTCTCCAAGGACCAGTCTCTCCTTACAATATGTCCAAAGTATGATGGTGGGAAGCTTTCCTGAGGAATTGTATCCTGTTGCCAGCCTGAGCTGTAGCCTGTCAACTTCCCTAAGAAACCAGACCCAACAGAAGGGCCGTGGTGGTGCTGGGCTTGGTAGAAGCAGGTGTGGCAGTGCAGGGGCCATGTCTGTCCTCGTAGGCACGGGTGTGGGTGTTCTTGATAGGGACAGTTCCCTCCTGTGCCGTTATTCAGACACAGCCATCCCCATGCTGCCTACACTCTTTACAAGGGGCTTGTGGTCCAGCAAGGGGATTGGACGGCTTGAAAACGGCCCTGTGGGAGGGGCTCTCTTGGGTGCCCTCAAGTGGACTGTTGACTCAATGCAGCCTGTGTGCAACAGAACAGATTCCCACCCATTTGTTTGGGGTTTTTGTTTGTTGCTGTTTTTTTTTTTTTTTAATTTTGTGTGCGTGTACCGTCAAATCAGATCTGACTGGTACAGGAGGATATTGCGCCTCCTTCTCCGGCAGAGCGTCTGGTGGATTCGAACCGTGTTCCTCTGGGATTGCACTGCAGCTTCTTACCACTAGGCCACCAGAGCTCCCCGTTTGTTGCTGTTTTTAAAAAAATGTTTGTTATTTGACTGCATTGCGAGCAGATGGTCTGCGGTTGAACCGTTTGCACACGCTTCGTTCCGTGGTGGTGATGACAGTTCCCATATCGTAGCAGCACTCGTCCCAGCTCTTCCGTGTGACTCTCGTTCCTATTCACCCTTCCTCCTCTCCCCTCTTTCCTTCTGAGCTTTATCCCTGAGCAGGCACTACCCGTGTGGCTGAGCGCCTCCCTGGTGGCGACGGTCACCTGACGATCTGTCTGTTGTTTGGCTGTCAGTTGTGCCCAGGGGCTAGTTCCACTCCAGGCCAGAAGGGCAGCAACAGGCTATAGTCCTAAAGGTTCTAGCAGCCTCGGTCATATAGTAAGCCTGATTCTGTTTATGGCTTGGAGTTTGTTTCACATTTATCCTGCGCTCAGTACATACCCCTCTCCTGGGCCTCCTTCCCGAACACTCAGCAGTGTAGCTGCGGCCAGCCAGTTCTTTGCAGTGACTTTTTTTTTTAAATTTTATTTTATTATATTTTGTGTGTGTACCGTCAAATCGGGTCTGACTGGTACAGGAGGAGATTGCCCCCTCCTTCTCCAGCAGAGCATCTGGTGGATTTGAACTTTGTGCCTCTGGGATTGCAGTGCAGCTTCTAGGCCACCAGAGCTCCCTCGCAGTGACTTATTTTTAATCTCTTCCATAAGATGTGATTTGGAAGCTCTTCTCTGTCTCTTCCTTTCCAGATAAAAGAAACCAACAATAAGCTGAAGGAGTTTGAGGAAACCGCCAAGAAAGTACGCTCTGCCATTGAGCAGCTGGCCGCCCTGGAGTGATGCCCCCTTTTTGGCCGGGCTGGGGCCCCGCATGGCGAACATGCAGCCTCACTGGGTCCCGGCCCCCGGCCCCGCAGCGCTGCCTTGGCAAGGAGGACTTGAGAAAGGGCTGTGACAGGACAGCATCCAGGCTGGACAGCCGCTCACTGACTTGCTATCTGTCTGTCTTTTGTTTTTTCTCCTTGGTGCTTTGTGCTTTGTCTAGTCCTGGCCATCGTGGGTGAGGAGGTGGGGCGTGGGCAGGGTGCCGGCCATCACTGTGGGTCGCTAACACCACTGAGAGAGGGTGTGGGAGTGAGAGGGTTCCATCGTGAATGGACAGATAGGGAATTAAGGGTGTACTTTTAAGATTCGTGTGTACAAGCACCCCAGTCTTGTGCACTTCCTATCTGTGTTCAGGTACTCTGTGCTTTGCCGTGGTTCGTGTCTCTTTGCACTGGGGTCTTGCATTTCCCCTCTGGGCCTGTGGTGCTGTACCAGTCTCCTTAGCATCCTGCCCCAGGTAGGGGACAGGGAAGGGGCCGTCCCACCCTCTGCTCCCTCATTCCAGAGCGTCAGCTTTCCACACCTGGCTGCCAAGCACCGAGGTTGTATTCCTGGAGGCTTTGGGCCAGATTCTTCTCCGGGAGGGGCCCCTCCGGAGGGCCTGTGTCTGACCCCAGTCAAGCCTACCTCCTTCTCCAGGCCTGTGAGAAAATACTCTGACTGGCATCTCCCTCCAGTGGGTACACAGAAGAGTGCAGTGTTCCTCTAAAACCAACCAGGAAAATCTCAGGCCCATCAGGGTGGCCTCTGAGCCCCAGCTGCCTTCTGCACTGTCCTCTCCTCAGGAGATGGTGCAGTGAGGGGGCTGGGGTTCCCAGGAACCACTCTTCCCCGGGCAGGGTGGGGCAGAGTGCCCAGGTGAGCGTCTCCTGGTCTTTATTTCCCGTGCTTTGCAGATTGCTGCTTCCCATTGGTGATGCCTGTCAGGCAGCTAAGAACTTGTGCATCTTCTAAGGAGGTAGCTCAGTAAATCAATAAAAAAAAATGGACTGGAAAACCTTGCACACTTTAATTGTTTTATTTTTAAAGATAGGCATGTCATTTATATTGTTTGCAACCTTAGAAGATCATAGATTCTTAGATGTATCAGTTTGATCTGGCATGGGCCAAGGCTGGCACTGGGACAGTGGGAATAAGGTTGACTGGGATGCCCACCACAGACCCAGAGGGACCTGAGGAGTGGCTGCCTCGAGCAGACACCAGGCTACACTTTTCTTATCTATGTTGGGACATGGAAAACTGGGCCACTGCATCTGTGTGCTTCATAAAATGTAACAGGAGAAGGGCTTGAGTCCACTCTGCAGGTCTCCTGAGCTGCTGCCGTCTGACTTTCTAATGTTGCTTGAGTGATTTCAAGAACCCCAAAACCAAGCCCATGTGTCAAGTGGCTTCTGACGTGTAGCCACCTCGTGGGACCAAGCAGAACCGCCCTGTCGTATTTCTAAGGCTGTAAGTTGGTAGATGTCGGCGGCCATGGCTCCCTCCTGCTGAGTGGCCCATGGGCTCATGCCTCCTGCCTCTCCACTAGCAGTGTGACATGGTAATCGTTTGCCCCACCAGGGACAGAATGTGGCATCTGTCTCAGTTACCTGGCCCTGCTGCAGCCGAGAGACCACAAGTAGGAGGCTGACCGTCTGAATTCAAGGTGCCAGCTCCTTGGCAAAATCCCAGTCCTGGACGAAGGTCCTGTTTCCTTCAGCGTCTGTAGCCTCAGCCTTCCTCAGAAATGTCCACGTGCCTTGGTCTTCTCCTGTGTCAAGGATGGGGTGCTAAGGACTGCTCCCTTGGGACCAGGACTGCGGCCTGAGCACCCTCTGATTGGCTGGTCATATCACAAGGAGGCAGCCTGGAGCCAGCTCTCCACCCGGAAAGTGCAGTGGCCTGACTTCATTGAGCATCACCCAGCAGAGAGCCCCTATTGGTCCAGCAGCAGCGGGCGTGGTGCACAGCCCCATCAATGAGGGGTGGAGGGGGCCAGGGACAGGAGATGCTCCTGGCAGCCTGCCAACTGGTCCTCGACTCCCCAGCAAGCACACAAGTGGGAGGCTGTCCAAGCAGAAGGCTAAAGCCTGCCCAGGCCCTGTTGGGGTCACTCAGCCCCAAGCTGCCCATGTCACCACCAGTGACAGTCAGGCTCAGGCCCTCTGAGTGTGGGGACTGCTGTGCATTATTTGTCAGGAGAGAGTTCTTCATTCTCCAAAGTGGTCTCACCTTAATCCCTAGTGCCTGGGTCTGCCTGTAAATGGAAGCTTCACTGTAGACACTGTTTTTTTGTTTGTTTGTTTGTTTTTAAATTTATTTTAATAGACATTTAAAGAGGTTTTGGATTTCCATTCATTCATTGCCGCACTTTTCTCCCTGCCCACCCCTCCCCACCAGTTCACTCCCCTCTCCGAAAAAAAAAAATTCCTTCATTAGTATGCAATTCCCCCATCCCTTACCCCCCACCCCCCACCCCGAGTACACTTCTTTATGCAACCTTAATTCGGGATTCCTGTGCTAACCATAATAATCATATATCACCTCTAATCTGTTCTTTCCCTCATCTGTTTCAATATAATATACATAATTTATCCAGTATTTGTCCCTTTGTGACTGAGATACTTCACTCAGCATAATGTCCTCCAGGGTCACCCATTTTGAATAATATTGCATGAGTTCTTGTTTTTCAATGTGTAGTATTCCATTGTGTGGATATACCACAGCTTCTCTATCTATTCGTTTGTTGATGGGCCCTTAGGTTGCTTCCAACTCTGCTATTGTAAACAAAGCTGTGATAAACATGGGTGTGCATATATCTGCTTGGGTGGCAGACATGGTCTCTCTGCAGTATATTCCCAGTAGTGGAATTGCTGGGTCAAATGGTATCTCTATTTGCAATTTTTTGAGAACACGCCACACCGCCTTCCACAATGGTGGCACCATATTACATTTCCACCAACAGTGAATAAGGGTTCCAGTTTTTAAGAAAAAAAAAAGAGTTCCAGTTTCTCCACATCCTCGCCAGCATCTGTTGCTTGCTGTTCTGTTAAATTTTGCTATTCTGACTGGGGTGAGATGATAGCTCATAGTTTTGTAGACACTGTTTTTTGTAAGCTGGCTTTACAGAGAAGCTAAGAGAGAATGCTTGTTCTCCACCCTTCTGTCTGGGGGTAATGTGGTCGCTGTCCTCTGCTGTGTCTGCCTCATTGTGTGCCCTTTGGCTGTGGGGACTGACCTGGGCAGGGGCTCACAATGTGCATTTTCTAGTGAACTCTGCACTGTAGTCAAGTTAATGAGAGACGGTGCTGTTGGACAGGGGCTTTGCCAGCGGCTTCAGCTGCCCCAAAGGCCTCTGCACATCAGCTGAGGACAGAAGGCTGTTTGACCAAGGTTGTCACTGGAGGCTGGCCTCTGCCCTCCAGTTGGTGACAGCAGTTAGTTGAACATGGTCATAAGGATGAGAGGCTGCACCCAGTCCTGCTTTTGTACTTCTCACTGACACTTGTCCACCCCAAGGCCTCTGCAGCCCTGACTTCAGAGGGCGTGGGCTGATGCCGACTTGAAAAGCCCCTGACAGCTGAGACTCTGCCTGAGGCTCCCAGCTGCTGTAACTGTGGGACTCAGAGCTGACAGGAGGAGAAAGAACGGGCCACGCTCCAGTGGTACCTTCCCAGCCGCTTTGGGCTAGGGCCTAGTCGGGGTCCATTTTAAGGGAAGGACACTGGAGGGAGAAGGCATCACAGTCCCTTCAGGAATGGGCACCTGGTGCTTAGGCATCAAGGTGACCCTGGCTGACTTAAGATTTCTCATTCAGATGTCTTTCCTGGACATCTGACTGTTTACTTTGTGCTGAAGTAATTATTCAGGAGAGGATTAGGATGGATACATGAGACCTCAGGGCTGGGCACTCACGTTGTGGAACACTCACCTGGGACACAGCAGCCAGCCTGCATCACCCACAGTCGCCCTCCCGCTGCCCCACAACTGACAGTCTACAGATCCTGGCCCAGCCCTCACCAGTCACTGCACCACCAGCCTGGATCCCTGTGGTCACTCCTGACAGGTCTGAGACTCTGGGAGACCTTCTACTGAACCACTGAACCCAAGGGAGTAGAGGAGCCAGGAAACAGACAAGGAGAAGCTGTGGATGCCAGAAATCATGCATTTAGGACAATATTGACTCTATATTTCTTATAACTGGTCTGCTACTAATCATAGCAGAATGAATTATAAAGACAGTGACCGAGCCTCACTTCTGGGAGTTAGAAGACTAACATGGGAGTTAGAAGACTAACATGGGCACCACCAGCACCAGTCTTGTGACTCCCAGCTTCTATAGAGATGCTGGTTCTAAGGCATTGCTTACTGGAATGCCCTCTGCATAACAGTGGCCTTGATAATGGAGCCATTAATGCCTAGGTGTTGTTCTTACGTGCCGACAAGTTGACTGTGACTCATAGAGACCCTGTGAAAAATTGTTCTGAATCTTGCCCTATCTTCAGTCAATCTCACCGCCTTTGACACACATGACCCCATTGCCACAGTCACTGTGTCAATCCACTGTGTCATCTAGGGTCTTCCTCTCCTGCATTGACTTTCTGCATCATGCTCCCCTTCCAAACATGATGTCTTTCTCCAAGGACTTGTCCCTCCTGTCAACATGCCCAAAGTATGTGAGATAGAACTTCAAAATCCTAGCCTCCAAGGAGTAACCTGGTTTCACCCTCTCTAGGAAAGATCTGTTTGTTCTCTTGGCGGTCCATGGTATATTCAATACTCTTCTCCAGCACCACAGCTCAAAGGCATCGATTCTTCTGTTATCCTCAGTCATTGTCCCCACCCCCAGATTCATAGTAAGCAATTAAAAAGACCAAGGCCTGAATCTAGACTTAACATTGTTGCCCTTCAGCAGACTTCAGAGGTCCTTGACAGCAGACGTTCTAAAGTAAATTTACTTATTATGCCTAGTGATG